TTATTAGTTCACCTATGTTATGAAATATGTATATTTATTGATATTATGCCACAAAATATAAACTTGTTACCACCATAGATTTTAATTGGGCTAATTGATAACACTGCAGGATGATGTTACGGTCACAAAATAGAGAGAGAAATAAAATTACTTGGATTATCTTCGGTGCTGATATTAGTGCACAAAGAGGTGGCACAACCAAGCTTGCAGAAGTGGAGAGAATTTGTTTGGTGGCCGTCCGAAGGTTCAGAAGTTAGGATGCACTTTTTCAAGCAGCGAATCCCACATTTGAGAGGATTGTGTTCTTTGACAATGCAGATGCCAAAGCAAGCACCATAGCACAGTTGGAATAGTTGAGCTGTGGACTGCCCCATGACCAATCCCAGCACTAAACAAACCAGCACTGCGCACCTAACTTGTTTGGCTTCCATTCTCTCTCTTCTAGCAAACACCTAGCTCTAAGCTCTTAATTTGCTGAATGACAAGCCTTATATTGTCTAAAAAGGGTGGGTATACTGAATATGGTATATATTCATAGCTAGATTGATCAGTACCATATGTGGCTTCAAATACGAGCCACAAGAGTGATAGAATTGAATTTCGACTTGATTTCTATACATTAATAAAAATTGAATTTCGATTTTTCCTTTCCTTTTGGAGGCTTCAATCCCATGTTAGAACTTTTGGACAAGTAAAAAATTTAGCTGTAGTTTTCCCATTAGATTTTCTATATTTGACTTTTAGATTTTCAATTTGATTTTGAGCTCTATGAACTTTCCATAAACTATTGCCGTATTCCAGTTTGCCCATTAGATTTTCTATATTTGACTTTTAGATTTCTAATTTGACTTTGAGCTCTATGAACTTTCCATCTAAGAGGGTAATTTTAATCAATAATTCATATAATCTATATAGATAAAACAAAATGCAGAGAATGGTAAAACATTCAAAATACTAGAAAATGCATTTAGTTAATTCAAATATTAAGAATTGAAATTTATTAATTGAATGAGGATAATATGGTAAATTCACATCTTTTTCATATTAAAAATAAAATAAAAACAGATAATAGGTCATACTTTTATGGAACATAACTACCCATGTTATATTTTCTTAATTCTAAAAATAAAATTTAAAAAAATAAAAAAAAACAATTGACACATGTATGAGCATGTGCCATAGAGCTAGTATGAATTATTATGGTGTTCGTCACATTAGTTGGTATTAAAAAATTGGTAAATAAGTTGGTGCCATGAGTTAGCTGTGTCCCCTAAACTATTCCCATTTTAATATAGCCATATGAAATGCATGTGAGTGAGCCATTTGTAATGGTAATTTTGTTATTTAATTATATATTATCTTCCCAACCCATCACTTTCTCTATCTCTTTTTTTATTACAAAAAAGGTGGTAGGAGTGTCACCCTTTGGGCCCGGCAAGGGTTAAAGAGAAAGCTCTTCCCAAGAGATTCGTTACACATGCAGAGGATCGAACTCGAGACTTCATTGAAGAGCCCGACCACATTCGCCTAACATGTGTAACATAGTCTGTTCAATTTTCCACTAGTAATAAAAATACCCTGAAAAAGAAAAGCATTATATGTGTGGTACATGCCTACATGATATACAATAGTATTGTAGTACCACATGGCATTTGCCAGCTGGTGGTTCGGACAAATGATGTGACAACACCTAGACAAAGCTGCTAAAAGGAAACGAGGAACTAACATTCGTTTTTCAGACCAGAACACTTTCATTTGATATTGCCGTTAAAGTCACCCATCAAACCTTCATGGAAAATTGTACAGCCAAAACTACACCTTCTCACCGCCCAAAGCTAATGGCGGAACTATTAATTTTTGTTGGGGTGGGTTTGTTTTTATCATGGTAGATCTGTCATCCATCTTGGCTTGATTGTAAAACCTTAAGCTATCTCCCGTCATAGGGTTAAATATAGTTCAGGACTAAAAATTTAGCCCTCCAAAATATTAATTTTTCAAAGAATAGTGTAGGATTAAATTTTTTTATCTCCAGCCATGCAGGGCTATATTTTAAGGTCATTCATATTTTATTATTTTGAGAAAAACTATAGTACAACACATACATTCCACAACTATGTATTGTTTAATTTAATTAAACTACTATTTAGAGACAATATTCATTGACCAAGAATTTTTTATAATTTTTTTAAAACAACACTTGAAAACATTTGAAAAGGTGACTACTTTTAATGGTTTGACATCCAACGGTCATAACTAATAATTTTTTATAATTTTTTTACGAATTGAAAACATTTAAAAAGGCTCTTAAATATATATATATATATATATATTACGAATTGAGAGTGCAAAATAGAAATCCTCTTCCTCTTGAAATGTACTGCAAAATCCCAATGTTAATTTTCCATTTCTCTTGGCCACAACGTGGTAGACTTTTTAGCCGAACACAAAACCTTCGTTTAGTTACAATGGTGGGCTCTTTCTTTTGGGGTACAATGGCGGGCTTAAAGCCTATAATGTACAGAAGAACCTAGCTCTATGTTGAAGCATAAAATTGAATAAAACGTCCCCATTCAAACCTTATGGAAAATGTATCAAAACCAGGAAAATAATATATATCTTAGCTAGAAAATAATCTTTTCCTTGATTGCCAAGGGAGAAATCTACCTGGAATTTTTTTTTATGAAGAATGCAAATTAACTTAAAAAGAAAAAGAAAAAAACCGAAGGGGTTCAATCTAGAAAAAATATAAATAATAATAAGAAACGGAGTTTTTCAACCCCTTCAAAAAAAACTTAGTAAAGCAAAAAAGATCTAAACTTATCCACGACATTTGACGTAAGTTCCATGTCAAACTTCACAAAGTACAACATAACAAATGCCCGTTTAACTTTACTTATTTTGACCTATAATCACTTTTTTTCATAGTTTTGAATATCCATACATTTTGGTTAAGGAGAAAAAACCTGCTTTTTGGAGGAAATCGCTGCCACATACAGCACTTTGGAGAAGTAGGTAACCGGTGTGGGTTACTGAATATTTTTATAATACCTATGCTATCCTTATGTCTCTTTACAATTTACGTGACATATCCCTTCATTCCATTCAATCTTTAATTCACCCATTCTGTCCACTTCTTTTTTTTCCTGTTAACTCGTTTATCATTCCACACTTCAATTATTAAATAAATAAATACCTTGGTGGGTGTGTCACTCTTCAAGTACGTTTTGCACCTTTTTTTTTTTTTTTGGGTTACTGTAATTATTCTTGATATTTATGTTTTTTTTTTTCCTGAATTTTCTTGACTTTCTCCTCTGAATCGTTTTCTGGGGCATTTGGGTGAATGATACATGATTTGGAACATGGTACTTCAAAGACAAATAGTTTAGAGCATTAAAGGACAAATATTTAACTTTCAACATAATATTTTGTTTATTTTATGATCGAAACAATTTTTGGGGTGTGATGGTTAAGAAATATATTTGTCAAAAGCCAAGTGGAATGCTAAACAGCTAGAAAAGGTGGCTGACTCATATCCACCCGAAGTGCTATTTCCGACGTGTAAATAACGTCTTGTGAATCAGCGGCAATTTGACAGCGAGAAAAAAAGGACGTTATTTCAATTATCGAGAATTTTTTAATAAATGGACCCCACCTGCTGCGTATAAAAGTGACGTTTTCAAGGTTGCATATGCTTTTCTCTTACCATATTTTCATTGTTTTTCATTTATTTATTAATAAAATAATAATTTTATTTAACGGTTCAAGTGGAGTAAGAAGTTGTCCATAATGTTAAATTACCACATAGGCCGTCAAATACAAATTTGATGTTTTTTATTTGACATTTCCCTTGGAGATGCTCTTAGAAAATTAATTTTGTACTAACATCAATTTTAGTATTCAGTTTACCAAAAGGCAAACTACTTTAATTCACAGCTGATTTTTCTTACAGCAAATCTGAAATTGATTATATTTACAAAATAGCAATGCCAAATTGGCTCTAAGTGATGGATACTACTTGCCTCTACCTGTAAGGAGATATTGCTCCTTCCTGCTAATCACAATTTGACACATATGCAAAAATAATTCATTAAAAACACAAAAATAAAAATTTATGAACATATGTCACACTGCTGTTGGTAGGAATTTAAGAGCCCATACTTACATGGTAAGGAGGGAAAGTATTTTCCATAAGTGATTTTACTAATAATAACATCAAGGCCTTTCACGTTCCGAACTATATGCAAGTGATTAAGAGTAGTTAACTTCGCTTGTATAAAAAAAAAAGTGAAACTATGGAGACCAAAAATTCAGTTTGGCCATTTCATTTTGGACTGAAACTTGTTCATGTTTTTATTTTTATGTTGATCTCGTTTATGTTTATGGCCGTCTAGATAACACAGCATCGAATAATTTCTCATCACATACAGAGTAAAACATCATCTTACATTGTCGACCATTGAAACTTTCATTTCGACCTAACCAACAAATACTATAGGGAGCGTTGTTTTTGGGGCGTTCATTGTGAACTTCAGCATTGTCAATTATATGGTCATAGTCTCCAACAACCAAAAATATATTGTCAATTATATGGTCATAGATAGTCTTCAGAATTTGTATATTATATGGTCAAAGTTTTCAGTTGCGGAATACTACTTGCATCCTATTTACTCTACTGATTTAACAATATTCTTTTCCCTTCCTTTTACTTTCTAGAACGAGACGATTTATGGGATTACATAAAATAGTTGAGGTAAATTATGTGCGTACTGATTGAATTGATTTGTCAACTTGACAAATTACAAGATGCATAAGCAATTGCCACTTTGACAAAAGTAAAGACGATCCCCTTTTGGAATTCATGCATATTTATTAGCACTTTGACATAATACAATATTCATAAGAAATGAAAATGATATACAATATGAAAATATATAAATTTTTTGAACAGTTTCTTCAAGCACGTCATGGTGTGATTTCCACAGTTCGACGATGTTGCTTTCTTCATACCACTTCCACAAGCCAATTTGGTTTTCCATTAGAGAGTACAAGATATCCCACGGATATTCCAATTACCACACCAGATGCATACCCCATCAACACTACCTTCCAATCAAAACCATTCCCATGCTCCAAATCATCCTCTTGTTGGAATGACGGTGGCGGTGATTGATGTGCACTGCATGTTTTAGAAAGTGGCAATCCACACAATCCTGTATTTCCACTATATGAATCATTTTCAAATGTATCAAATTGCTTGCCATGAGGTATGGGCCCCGCAAGTTGATTTTTTGAAACATTGAACTTTGATAGTGACGTCAAATTTGCCAATTGCTCCGGAATATCACCAACAAGTTTGTTTGAAGACAGATCTAACCATTCAAGATTGCTCATTTTGCCAAATGATGGTGGAATTGTACCTGTAAGCTCATTATGAGAAAAGTTAAGCCCATTCAATGATTTAAGCTTACTAATTACACTTGAAATATCTCCTCTGAAAGTGTTGTTTGAGAAATCAATAGTTGTGAAGAATGTCAGGATCTTTTCCATTTCAAATTTGATGCCTTTAATTGTCACTACCACTGTATCCTGATAGTAGCCCTCTCCCATATATTTCAGTCCATGTTCTTGCGAGTTTATCATGGCCGTCAAATGTTCAAAATATTTTGTTGGCAATAGACCGCTAAACTGATTGTAAGAGAGGTCCATGATATGCAATCTTTGGAATGGAAACTTAGTATTCGGATTGCCTATGTCACCGTGGAATTTGTTAGACCTCAAGATGAGAACTTGCAACTTCGGAAGAGATTCCAACCAATTTGGGAATGTATCTTGAATTTTGTTGTTTCCAAGGTCTAGAACTTCCAACTCTGTACATGTGAGCAAAGATGGCGGCAATGACCCTTCCAACTGATTTCCATTAAGATTAAGATTTCTCAAAACGTTTCCCTTAGAAAATGTTCCAGGAATCACACCATGAAATTTATTATTCCGTAGATCCAAAACAGAGAGACTCTGACTGAAGTTCCCTATGCACTGATGAATTTTACCACTCAATCTATTATTAGACAAATCAAGGATTCGAAGCATACTCAGGCTGCAGATAGTCGGAGGCATCTCTCCAGTGAATTGATTGTCTGATATGAAAAAGTAATATGTGGAAGGTGGTGGAATTGGAAGCTCTCCTTGGAGCGAATTGTTGTGAAGGTCAAGATACTGTAGTTTTTTCCACTGAAGTTGTCTTACAGTGCCAGTCAAAAAGTTGTGGGAAAGATCCAAATACATCAATGAATCTTTCCCCAAATCCAACAACCATTTGGGAATGTCGGCTTGGATTCGGTTGTGGGAAAGGTATAATCTGTTCAAATTTTGTGAGGTTCTTAGAAAGTATGGGAACTCTCTCATGTTACAAGACGACAAATCTAGTAACCAAAGTTGAGGCCAGGTGTTGTTATTCAAATGGTTGAAGCTCAAGGATAGATGATTAAAGGAAAGATTAAGCCCCATGAGACTTTTGAGTTTGGAAAACTTTTCAAACTCCAAATCTCCACCCAAGTTATTGGATGACAGAAAAAGCCATCTAAGGTTCACGAGTTCATAGATTGATCTTGGAATCGGGCCATGCAGCTTGTTATCATTTAATAAAACGCCTATTAAAGAACGAGATTGGAACTCAATGATATTACCACTGAGTTGGTTACTTCCGAGGTCTAACCACTCCAATGATGGCAAACTACCTAACCAAGATGGTATTGTTCCGTTGAGTTGGTTCCCATATAAACAAAGCTCGGTTAAGTGTCGAGGAATAGGACCCACCAGTTGTTGTTTTGAAAAATCGTATAAAGAAGAGATCGATGTTGAGTTGCTATCAACTTCTGGAAAGTAACCGACATAATTGTTGTTACTAAGATCCAAGTAAACAAGGCTCTCAAGGTTTAAAAAGGATGACCATGGGATTTGGCCACCGAAACTGTTAGACGAGAGGTCCAACTGCATGATTTGTGTGAGGTTACCAAGAAATGCAAGATATGATCCTACAAAACTGCAATTCCTGAGATACAAACCTCTCAAAGAGTTGAAATTTCTTGTCAGATGATGCCAATCTACTGAAATACTAGTATTAGAGAGATGCAGCACCTCGAGGGCACTATTCCAGTTAGACTTGGGGAAATAACCTGTGAGGTTTTTGTTGAAGCCTAAGTTTAGTACTCGAAGGTTTGGTCGATGGAAAATGCTTTCTGGGAAGTTTCCTTGCAAGTGGCAATAATTGAGTCTAAGAGTTGTCAGAGAAGAAGAGAGATTCTTGAAGGAATCAAGTAGAACTGATGACATATCAACAAGGGCCAGATCAAGCTCCCTAAGATTGGTTAGGTTTTGAACAATTCTGTTCAAGCTAAGAGTATCTAGTGTCACATCAGCATGCGAGAGATTGAGCGAAACCAAGTTGGAAAGGTGGGAAATTTCGGAAGGGATTGGGCCACTGAAATTGGAGTAAGAGAGGTCAAGGTGAGTCATACTTACAAAGCCACCAAATTTGGACGAAATTGGGGAACCTCTGAAATCATTATAAGAGAGGTCTAGCCTCTTGAGATGGCCAAGAGAGAATAAGCTGCTATTGGAATGGATATTGCCTTGAAGCCCACCAAAACCAAGGTTGAGACCGATCACATGACCAGTTATCTTTTCACAAGTAACTCCACTCCATGTGCAACAATCCTTGCCTTTCTGCCAAGAAATTTTACTGTTAAAATAAAAAGTTGTTCCATTAAGTAATTCACGTTCACGAGAGGTATCAATAGAAAAGGATTTCTTGAATTGAAGCAAAGCAGAGTTGTCATCGGGATGGCATAAATGCCCTGAAGAAAGAGAAGAGGAAGAGTTAGATGATGAACAAGTACAGCTCAATTGACAAGTAGTAGAGAGCAGGAAGAGGAGGCACAACCATGACAACCAACCCATCTTTCTTTAAAAATCTGAAGTGTATAGCTATGTGATAAAACAGTTGTGAGCAATTTTATACTGGATATGTTGATATTTATAACAAGCTTAATGAATAGTAATTTATCATCTTTAAAGATAACCAAGCATCATTGTAAGGTTTGACAATAGTTGTCCCATTGTCACACAGGTGTAGGTCCCATTGTTAGCTAGCTGCTACACCAATTTGAATTTTTGATAATTGACATTATTGAGGGTGAAGTGTTTGATAATTGACGTAGGCATTTCCGCGTGTTGAAATAGGTTCCACCTGTTACCTCCCACCTGTACTAATCAAGTTGTCCAAATATTGAACACGCAGGGACAAGTATGCAGACCACCAAAATCGTTCTTCACGCTCTCTCATTAAATCTTCTCATCTGCTTTCTACACGATTTTGCTTGTCTTTTCACTTTCTGTTTCCATACCCTTCAGCATTAATTCTTCTCATCTACTTTCTGCACAGTTTTGTTTGTCCTTTCACTTTGTCTCTATACCCTTCAGCATTTGGTAGGCCTTGCCTTTGTTAAATAATTATTTTTTAATTTTAATTATTCCGATCCTATCCGTACCAAGATATTTGGTTTGGTTAACGGAAACAATATTCCTAACCCGACGAAAACCTGTACCGATCCGATATTTATACTTATTCTATTATTTGAATATAAAACAAGAAATCAAAGATAAATACAATAAACATTTTGTATCACTCCTTTATCACTGATGTATCACTTCTTTATCACCATTCTATCACTGCTTTATCACCATTATATCACTTCTTTATCACATAGGTACTGTAGCACTTTTTGGTCATAGAGGAATTTATGAATTTCCTATGTTTTACAGTTTCGACCTTTGTCCCGTTTTTTACCTGTAACTTTCCAACTGTTGATTCAAATTTTATGTTCTTTATATGGTTGGATAGAGCATGAAAAACTAAAGAACCCAACGCATAACAAATGTCAAAATCATTTACATAAATGTAGAGAATTCAGTAAAAATAACACTCAAATGTTCAAACAACAAACACAAGTGGCTCCCAAGACATCTTGAGTATATATTGAATGATGACTAAGTTATTTGATTTCATACTTGGATGAATTAGACTATTGAATTTTTATATTTTACCAGGATAATTTGGTGAATTTGTTGAAGAACTTATGTTATGTGAAAGTATTATAAATTGTATTTTTATTAGTATGTTTTTATTACGGTACTACCGACGTACCAAACCAATCCGAACCGAATAATAGGTAAACCGATCTGAAGTCTACTTAAGTTTTTGGTTTGGTTAACGGAAGCCTTCTACCGTTTCAAACCGATCCGTGCCCATGCCTAATGAAAAGCATAGCACGCCGCTTTGTATTCGCAATTTGGATTCAAAACATGAAAAAGGACTGCATCCTAAGAATGCCCATCGTATATATAAATTAGCTATTACATTTAAAAACAAAATATGCTTTATCAGGCAGTATTGTGCCAATAAAAATATATTTTAATTTTTTGTTATGAAAATACATTATGTGTGTCTTTTTCATATTATGGATAATTTTTATTTTACTACGTTGAAGTTTACCGACTTTCAGCTTTGATACATTAAATTTTTTTCGTCTCAGTCGCATACATAACATTTATTTTTGTATCACTTTCATACTAGGTTTTGGGTTTCTGCTTCTTGGATTGTGTAAACAAACAGGTCATTGATGACCAAATAAAAGAATGAGTGTTTGTGTAATATGATTAATTGTGGTCTAGAGATGTGGTAATTATTTAATCCCAAAGCCTCCTTAGGCTACAGCCTACTGTAGCCCATAGGGTAGTTACGCCCTTGACTGTGCCTCATAAAGTGTTACGGCCTAAGGAAACAACAGAAGTCTAGCCAATGTAACGATTGGGTGTCCCATTGTCACACAGGCGTAGGTCCCAATGTTAGCTACCTTCTACACCAATTTGAAGTGCTGATAATTGACATTGAGGGTGAAGGCCTGCTACACCAATGTTAGGTTTTTTTTTTTTTTTTTTTTTTTTTTTGGGTAACGTGTTCATTTAATTGGAAAAATTTTGCACCAAGTCTTTGACTTTTGGCCGTCTTTAGGGATGACAATTTTCCCCGCGGGTAAGGGTCTTCACAGGGATTTGACCCTAATGGGTCGGGTATGAAGGACAAAAAACGGGTATGGGGACGGATACGGGGAATTTTTTGGGTATAGTGTTTTGGGAAGGACGAGGATGATATTTTAATCCCCAACCCGAATCCTCCCCGTTTAGAATATATATATATATATATTGATGAGGTATATAAATATATATTATAGTATATATAAATATGCTATTAAAGTGATTGTGCCGACTAAGTTTTATATTTTATATTATTATATTATATACTTATATAATTTATACAAATCTTAAGCCATAATACTTATTTATGTAGTTAACTTCCAATACATATATAAACATTCATATATTGTATTATTTATATTCATTATCTTGCCTTAGTACTTTTTTTTTTCTTTCAACAAAGTAATTATATATTAGTTTTTTCTTCTCTAATGGGGCGGGTCCGGGAACCCATTCCCCAACGAAGGTAGGGATGGAGAATCCCCAATATGAATATTGCGAGTATGAAGGCGGGGATGGGGGAAAAAAGCTTAATGGGGATGGGGATGGGATGACATACCCACCCCGGATTTGACCCATTGCCATCCCTAGCCGTCTTTGGTGTTGGTAAATAGGCATTTCTGTATGTTAAAATGGGCACCTTAATTGCTAATTTGAGTTCCACTTGTTACCTGCAACATGTACTAATCAAGTTGTCCAAATTAATGAACGAGTATTCATAAATTTACCATTAAAATCATTCTTGACTTTTGCCTCCTTCTTCACGCTCTCATTAATTCTTCCCATCTGCTTCTCCAAGGTTTTGCTTGTCTTTTCACTTTCTGTCTCCACCACCCTTAAGAATTTGATAGGCCTTAGAGCCCTTCCATCCGTTGCCTCCAGCCCGGGGCAGGACAGGGCCCTAGCCCAGGGAAGCGCTTCCAGCGGATCATGCTTGCTAGGACAAGCTGTGGGACCCAAAATTCTAAAGGAAATGGAATGGAAAAGAGTGCTCTTTGCTGGGGTTTTCAGAATTACCCTCTTTGTTGTGTCCCCAATTTAACTTAAATAGCCCTCCTATTTTGTAACCTTCTTTTGCCATACAAAATATTATACAACTAGGCTCAGATGTGCAGTCAACACATTTTATTTAATTTTGAGCAACAAAGCAAGTAAATTGGAAGGCACGAAGAAGATACCCAAAAAAAAAAACTGAAAACTATTTAGGCTTTTTATCGTAAAACGTCCCTGACGTTTGTAAAACTATCAGATTGCATCCTTAAAATTTTTAATATCACTCATGATCCCTAACGTTAATATAAGGCCTAGTTTGGGATTGCTGCCGCTTTAAAAAAAAACTGCTTCTACTGTGCTTTAAAAAGAATCAGTTGTAAAGTAAAGCAGTTAAACGTTTGGTAAACTGTAATTTTAAAAGTGCTGTGAGTATGAAAGCAGTGTCAGAGCGTTTGGTAAATTTTACCGTAAAAGTGCTGTAACTATTTATAATGACTAAAATAGACATGATGCTGAAAGTGCTTTTTACTAATCTGAGTTGGAAGTACACCAGATGAAGGTGCCCAGGATTCAAACACACTCCCATATATTTTTCCCTTATTTTTTGGGTCTGCAGTTTTGATATTTATTCACAAAAGATTAATGGAAGCCAAAGAAATAAAGGGAATTAAAAGTTTGCAGCAAAACTAGTTGGGTCTGCAGTTTTGAATTATCTCAAATTATTTGTAAAATTTAGAGCAGCTATATTACAAATTAGTTTTTCTGGTTGTAACAGATTTTGACTGGCATTGCTGGCCTCACAGTTTTGGCTCTTAGCTTGTGGAGATATTCAAGAAGACCCTAAAATCGTAGGTGACAATGACATAACAGAGCTCTAGATACATGAAAAGGGCCAAGGTTCCGGTAATAAGTTTAGGACGGTTTTTTTTTTTTCAATGCTCAATGATTTGAGGGGTACATATAAGCTCAATAATAGCTGAATTTCTATAGAACCAGAATTTATACAGAGGATAAGATACTAAGATGGAAGCAAATACAAATTTATTTGGCCCCATTCGAGGCTTGGAACAAGAATGTGTATTTATCCTTTGTAACTTCCTGGCATGGACACCTTTATGCTTAAAGAAACTATGGACAACCAGTAGACAAAATCTGGACATATAAAACTAGTAGAAACCATGGACAACCGGTAGAAAAAATCTGGACATATATAAAAAAAAACAAAAAAAACAAGAGCAGCATGTATATAAAAAGTTTGAGAGATTGAAGAATCTAACCTTGTCAAAGAGATTGAGAGAGATTGAGCGAATGGTTGTCTCCAAACTTGGGAGGCTACGTGAAGAAACTTGGGAGGCTACGTGAAGATGAACTTTGGTGTCTGCATATTTGAGAGAAATACGTGAGGATAGATTTCTAACCTAATAAGGGTTTTTGTGGAATTGCGAAAATTTCATTAAAGGGAGCGCGCTGCTTCAATTAAAAGCAGCTTTAAAAAGCAACCCCGAGATTGCTTTTAAAAGCTGATGTCAAAAGACCATTGCTTTTAAAATAAGCAGGATATTTTATTTTTACCAAACACCTTAAAGTGCTTAACTTTAAAGTTAAGTAGGTTTTTGGCGAAAAAAAGCAATCCCAAACGGGGCCTAAGTGCTCTTAAATAGTCTATCTGTCAAAAAAACTGTTAAATCTAGGGATATAATCGTCAAATCAATCCTTGGAATAATTGTCCAAAATGAGATATATGTTATTCTAGTTGTTAACCTTTCTCTTATATATGAACTCCATTCACAGGATATTTTCATTTCCTTTTCTTGTGCATAACCAGTGTCTTATATTCAAACATTTTCTATAACCTAACTTTATTTACCATTCAATTATTTCTGATTTCTGTTTTTTTGTTTTTTTTTTTGGTTGGTAAATTAGACAAAACGGCATTCATATGGAGTTTATAGCATACATATACTTACTCAACAATTATGGCATCAATAAAATAGAACAGTTTTTCAAAGTTCAAATCCTCATTGGCTGTGTTCGATTATCAGTTCTGTCAATGATTGGATTTCGACCACATACCTTAGCAATGTCTAGGTTCAAATTTACCAAGAAACCAGAAATTTAATACACAACCAAACCAACATATGTAGTTTTGTTTTGTTCTTTTTGTACTGATTGATGATCAAGCAGCAAAGCATGATCCGAGGTTGCATGAATAAGGTCCAGCTGGTTCCTCCTCACCTGAAGGAATTCATCTTGCTGCGTGCCCCTGCATATGATCATATGATGTATTGCAGTTTATTTATTTAATTTATACATCAGTTCTATGAAATTGTTTTACATTCTAATGTCATAGGACGATTTGAAGCTCAAAAAAGGACCTAAAACCCAAAAAACTCAGCTGCTATTTTGCCCAGAAAATTGAAGCTTTTTCGTCACCAAAGGTTTTTAGCGACGGATGTTCATCAGATTTTTCGTGGCTAAACATTTTCTGCAACGGTATTCTTCAGATTTTTCGTCACTAAAACTGTGAGTTGATGAGGCATTGAAGAGGTCAAAAGGGATTGATTTGACGATTATATCCCTAGATTTAACAGTTTTTTTGACAGATTGTCTATTTAAGAACACCCATATTAACGTTAGGGACCATGAGTGATACAGAAAAACTTTAAGGATGCAATCTGATAGTTTCGCAAATGTTAAGGACGTTTTGTGATAAAAAGCCAACTATTTATATGGGTTTATTTATTAAATTGTTTTTCCTTGGCTTAATATTTCTCCGTCTCATTAGTGGTGTCTTTCCAATCTTTTTCAGGGCTATGTCTGTATGCATTGCATTTTGTGTGAACTCAATTATTTGAGTTCATTTTGATGTAATATGGCGTTTGACCTTCTATTTAATGAAACAAGATTTCGTCCAAAAAAAAAAAAAAAAACCAACGAAAGAGTAACTTTAAGCAAATTTATTGAAAATGCAGAGATGTTTGCACGAGATAAATTCAAGCAAATGAAATGGAACATTGGCGGAGTCATCAAACTGGTCCAGAGAAGTTGCAAGAAAAGAATTGCTTATCGCACCACTAACTATTATCAAAGAATTGTTAGGTAGCTGCGTCTTTCATTCAGGTATTGAAAATTGACGTGAAGCTTGCATCCATTCACCTAATTGGAAAACTTTGCACCAAGTCTTTGATATCTGGTCATATTTCTATGCTCATTTATGCGTGTAGTTGTCCAAATATGAATCTTGTCCATATATTAGTCTGTTACCAACAAATTAATGGACACCACTTTGTTAGGTAGCTGCGTCTTTCATTCAGGTATTGGAAAACTTTGCACCAAGTCTTTGATATCTAGTCGTCTTTCTATGCTCATTTCTGCATGTAGTTGTCCAAATATGAATCTTTCTTGTCCATATATTAGTACGTTACCAACAAATTAATGGACACCACTTTGTCCGACTTTAACCTTTTTGTTGTTGTTGTTGTTGTTGTTGATAAAACGATAGGCTACTCTAAGGGGATGGGGGCTCAAGCACCAATGTGCACACATGGGGTTTCGAACGGGGGTGCCGTGGGGGGAAAGGGGAAGTCTCCACCATTGTGGTAGAACCCATTGGCTGTCCAACTTTAACTTGATACAAAGGCATTTGCAGCTTTGTATTTACACTACTACAAAAATTGAAGACGACGGGAATCCACCGTCGTCTAGAAGGATTTCAAACCGTCGTGAAATCAACTGTCATCTTTTAATACATAAAACGACGACGGCAAATAACCAACGTCGTTATGTCATTCAACGTCATAACAAAAGTAAAATCAGTGTCTAATTGATATATAAATAGCATAAAAGGAAAAGTTCGACAAAATTAGACGATGGTTTAGAAAAACGGAGATGTCTAAAGAATGTTATATGTCAAGAAATCATAAAACCCGACGTAAAAAACCTTATCCACGTCTACATTTGAAGGAATACCGCCTTGTATAAAGTAGAAACCTTCGTGGTTAATATATACTATGCTCCCCAAATAAAAAATCTGTCATCTAAAATATATAAAAAAACCAACCAAAAAGAAAACTTCGACAAACTTAGACGACGTTTACAGAAAAGAAGAGACGTCTAAAGTGTATTACATGTCAAAAATGACACAGTAATTAACTTAAAATGTATTAACCACGACACGTGTGTGGAATGACTGTCGCTTATAATAGTTTCCACGTCGTAATGGAAGAAAAAACCGCCGTTTTAAAGATGTTCCACGTCCGTCTCTTGCAAGAACCGACGTGTAAATGGTAAAAAAAGCACCTTGGACAATGTTCGACGACAGTTTTTTTAATTAAAATACTGACGTCTGAATGTTTTAACATGGCACACCTTTATTGAAAACCGACGTAAAAATTCCTAACCCAATGACTAGGAGGACGAAATCTTGCCAGCACAGCCACTGCAGCTGCAGCAGTTGGCTTTCACCTTCTCCAAATAGGCCTCAACAACACTGGCCTCGTCTGGTGGATGACCCTAGGCAAAGTAGGCCTTTTCCAAGGAGGGCAAAACCTCATCCTTGAGCCGCTTGACCATGACCCTGTAGGCATATTTGGCCTTGGCCCGTTTTCCTTTACCATGACCTCCATCCAGGGGCGGATCTTAAGCCAGGGCAGGGTAGGCGCCTACCCAAAAATATTTCACTAAAAATATATATATATATTAATAAAAGAAAGAATATAACTTAAGCAACCAAATAGTGGCTATGCATTGCAATTCCAGACAGAGTCGGGAGAGCTTCTTCTCAACGCAAGTCTTGGCTGTGCTGTGCAATCGTGGACACTGGACAGCCTCTTCTCTTCTCTTCTCATATACAAGGAAACAAGTATTATTCTTAATCTCCTCTCTTTAATTATCTTCTTCTATTGGGTTATTCCTAAAATAAATGTATGCATCTTAGTTTTAATTTTAATTTGAAATTGAGTTTTCTAAGGTTTAATTAGGAATTAAATATAATTTGGGGATTTTGTTGAAATTAATTAGGTCTTTAATTTTAAGAATTTTGTTGAGATGTTTGATTTGATGTTGGCATTGTTGAGATGTTTGATTTGTTGTTGGTATGTTAATGTTTGACTAAATTCATTGATGCTATTATGAGAAATTGTTTGATTTTTTGTTGGGATATTTGATTAAATAGGTTATCTTTTATTATGTCGGATCACAATCGAAACCCCAAGAAAACAAAGAATTTGTTCTCTTTTTTTAAGAAAAAGAATGATGGGTCATCATTTCTAGAATGCCTCCCATTTGTGATGAGCCAAATCTTCTCTCTTCTCCCATTGTCGAGCCTCAAGTTGAAAGAGTTGAGACTCAAAGAGTTGATAGTGGTCAAGATTTTAATATCAATGATATTGAGCGTGATCCGAGATTACGTCTTCAAATATGCCAATATTCGGTGAATGAACAAGATAATGTGCGAAAAGCCTATATTATTTTAGGACCTTATCAACCGAAGTTAGAAGACTATCCAAGCCATTTAGAAGGGCGAGACTTACGTCGATTTAATAAATTGTGGTTTGGTAAATTCCCTTGGCTTGAGTATTCAATTGCTAAAATTGTTTCAGGCATGCCATACTAATAAATCAATCTTACATTTTGTTTCGAGATCCTGGACTATGTTGTGATGTATGTTGTTTCAAAATTTGATAGAAGTATGCTTGGGATAAAAGAGATCAAATATGGTTTTCCTTAATAAAATATGTTATGATTCCGCATAAAGAATAACATCCCATAAAGTGTTGCTATGTTTTGATAGAAAATATTTTGTTATTACTCAGTCCACAGATGAGTTTTAATTGATTGCTTCATATCATCTCAAAGTATCAATGGCAAAATTGTGTCATAGGGTACAGTAGTTGGTTTTATCTGCTTACAAGTGTGAACTCCAATTGTTTGTGCTCCATGATAGAACAAGAGAGTTCATTAACTGTTGTAAGTGATCAAGCATTACTGTCCACAGAGAGTAAATTGTTTTGATAAAGGAAAATCACAACAGTTCATGTTGTTGAACTTGTGAAGGAAATTAAAGGCATTTTGATATACTATCCACAGATGTGTGTCATATGTGCATAAAGTTTTTGGGGTAAAGATTAATTGTATTGCAAAATTCTATGTTTTCAGTTGTGAATCCCTCTGCTATCAATT